ACGCCAGAGAAGAAACGTAATAAGAATCAAAGCTATCAACTGAACAAACTGAAATATCAATCACAAGTTATTTTATATTAAATAATTATTTTCATTCTGAGAGGATATGAAAAACGAATATGTTAAGAAGTTCATTATAGTCATTTTATCTTTAAATTCATTATAACAACAAAAAGTTTAGTTATCATCATCAAACTTATTTTAAATTTTATTTGTTTTTAATCTACACGTTAGTCCCTGAGTAATGTTACAAGTACGATGCGTATGTACCGATAACACGAGACCATTATTTTTTAAATAGGAAACTAACTACAGCATTAACAACTACATTAAACTACAAACAACATTATTTTCACCACAACAATGATCCTTTTATATAGACTGTATACGGTAACTAATAAAACAATATGTATTTATTTCAACTAATGCAATAGAACTTTATATGGTCGCCCCACTCATAACCACGTCAAGGAACCCAGATAATAATTCCAAGACGAGATTCCCAACGTCTTGTACAATACGATCAGCGTCCCTTTTGAGAGTAAGTATCCACCTAATTTATTTATGTTGAAGTACGGAAATCACCTCCTTAACTACCGTATGCACTTTATATAACTACCCTATACACATTTCTATGTACAAGTTACGGGACACAAATGTACAGTCTTTGGTGATGTTCTGGGCGTTAATAATGTATTTTTTCCCGTCATTTTGGTTCCATTAATTTAAAAAAACAATTAGGTCCATTCTAGTAGGTTCATTAACTCCCAAGATAGAAAATTAGTGCTAAATTTTGGAATGAAACTGAGGGCTGATTTTTGGTTGGTATATTTAGATGATGTTTTATGTTTTAGCTTCAATTAGTCGACAAGGTGTCCTCTTACATGCCCAGTTATAAGTAATATTTATCATGTGAATCTCTGAGAATCTGGAGAGAAATTCTTTATTTAAATTTATGGCCAACATATATAATGTCTTTTATCAATAAACTTTGTAATATATATATATTTAAGAAATTCACCAAATATTGTTCTCTTTAAAAAGCGACTAAATTGAAAGTGTCTTGGTAGGTTAGAGTACACAGAGGTGAGCCAGAGTGTTGTCTTGTGGGGGTGGTGTTGGCCCACTACCCGACCATCACGAACATGGTTGTGACAAAGGATGTGTGACTGTTCATAAGAGGGAAGAATAAAGGACCCATCTGTCTCACGACTCTTAAAGCATTGTTTCCGAGCGCTAGTCTAGGAACACTAACTCCTTGTTCCCAGGGGCGTGATCCGATCCCCTAACTAGCCTAAATAACCTGTTCATTCATCATCGCTTCGTCACTTTTGCTTATCATGGTATAACCTCAGGTAAATGAGAAAGGCAGCTTAAATGCTAGCAGCACAGGTAAGGGGTCACTTGCCCGGTGAGTACAAGCACTGCCACGTCATGGTATATAAGTAACATACAGGCTGCACCAGGTTGCTCCCTCACTGACCATGTTACTTCCACTTTGGCACCTCACGTCCCGCAGCCAGTCCCTCAGTTCACCAATCCCGGCACCCCTTACAGAACATTACAACTGAGTACACCAATCACGTCACCCCTTGCAGAACACTACAACTGAGTACACCAATCACGTCACCCCTTGCAGAACACTACAACTAACTACACCAATCCCGTCAACCCATACAGAACACTACAAATAAGTACACCAATCACGTCACCCCTTACAGAACACTACAAATAAGTACACCAATCACGTCACCCCTTACAGAACACTACAAATAAGTACACCAATCACATCACCCCTTACAGAACACTACAAATAAGTACACCAATCACGTCACCCCTTACAGAACACAACAACTAAGTACACCAATCACGTCACCCCTTACAAAACACTACAACTAAGCACACCAATCACGTCACCCCTTACAAAACACTACAACTAAGTCCACCAATCACGTCACCCCTTACAAAACACTACAACTAACTACACCAATCCCGGCACCCCTTACAGAACACTACAACTAAGTACACCAATCACGTCACCCCTCACAGAACACTACAAATAAGTACACCAATCACATCACCCCTACAGAACACTACAAATAAGTACACCAATCACGTCACCCCTTACAGAACACAACAACTAAGTACACCAATCACGTCACCCCTTACAAAACACTACAACTAAGTACACCAATCACGTCACCCCTTACAAAACACTACAACTAACTACACCAATCACGTCACCCCCCTTACATAACACTACAAAAAGTACACCAATCACGTCACCCTTACAGAACACTACAACTAAGTACACCAATCTCGTCACCCCTTACAGAACACAACAACTAAGTACACCAATCACGTCACACCAATCACGTCACCCCTACAGAACACTACAAATAAGTACACCAATCACGTCACCCCTTACAGAACACTACAACTAAGTACACCAATCACGTCACCCCTTACAAAACACTACAACTAACTACACCAATCCCGGCACCCCTTACAGAACACTACAACTAAGTACACCAATCACGTCACCCCTCACAGAACACTACAAGTACTGTATGTATAAAATAAACCAGATATTTCTCTAGGTAACCCCACCACTTGTATTCTCTCCTCCCCTCCTCATCTCCTCAAGACAGTAGCTTCCGTCTCTCCATGTCTCACCTTTACCCTAAACCTGAAGTATCTGATAGCAGGACCGAATTACAAACAAGGCAAACAGGACACCTACCCAGGACTCCCAAGAAATCCAGGGCTCCCAAGTAACCCAGGGCTCCCAAGTAACCCAGGGCTCCCAAGTAACCCAGGGCTCCCAAGTAACCCAGGACTACCAAGTAACCCAGGACTACCAAGTAACCCAGGGCTCCCAAGTAACCCAGGGCTACCAAGTAACCCAGGGCTACCAAGAAACCCAGGCCTCCCAAATGTTAAAATTAAAAATAAATTAGATGAAAAATATTCTATCCATGTATAAATTCAGTATTTAGATGAATAAAATTATAGTCAATATAAACTGCATAATGAATAATAGTGTATATAATTATTATTTTTTTTTTACCATAGATGATATGAGTATTGAGTAGTACCATACGAAATATAAGCACCAAACCTTTAAGAGCACCTCACTATTCTCCCCCTGAAACCTACTGAAATTTGTGATAACTTCAGCCACTTCACACCCGTCGTTTCCTTTCGTTTCTCTCCTCTCACTTTTATTCCTCATTCGTCGCTCGTTTCGTCCACGTGTTTTTGCACCTCAGTGTCCAGTCAGCTTTGGCTAAAAAAACATAGAACGTTTTCTCTGGTGTAATTTAATGGTAAACTACTCCAGTTGGCACTCTGTCAATCTCGACTTTGGAATAAGATATTAATATTTCGTAATTTTTTTTTCAATTTTAGGTTTCTACATCAACCAAGTTTGCATCAGTATTTGTGTCTTCAGAAGGATTAGATAATATTTATGGTGATTACCCTTAAAATAATAAAACCTAAACCAATATAAGGACTAAACCAATATAGTGGCGCTGGAGGTATGTAAGAGAGGGAGTGAATTATACGATATAGTGTAGCTTATATATAAACCTGTTGTTACGTAATAAAAAAATAAATAAACGTCTTCTACAATTACAAAAAAAAATACTCTTGTAATTTGTAAGACATATTTATCTAATAACTCCATTAAGTGTCATTTAATTTATCTACCTGTACAAATATTAATAACATTAATTTGGTCGTATGATAACATTTTGATAAATTAAAAATGAAATAGTCGGAAATTTCCTCAAGCAGAGAATTAAGTTGTGTACAGTATGTATCTTACATCACAACAACTGTCAATATCAACAGAACAGCACAGAACAGGACAGGACAAGACAGAACAGAACAGAACAGAACAGAACATTTAACAACTACAAGTATTCCCGAGTTCCTCATAAACATACTGTATATTCAATTCGAAGTACAAAGATGACTTGCCACCAAAACAAAATTATTCAGAGAGTAACAGATGTAAAAGATTAAAATAAATGAATCGTAGAGAGATTTAATGTTCCTTGCGAAATTAACTTTTGAAATATGTCTCTCTTGGAGTTTTACGATATATTGTAGTATTATGCAAAAGAGGAAAAAATGCGCGAGAAAGCAGATTAATTCCATGACTAAGACTGCCAACACAAAAGAACTAGTGCTACAATACTCTTTACTCTCTCAGTAAAGATGAACTCTCGCCACAAAATTTTCCCTTTGATATTACACTATATATTGGTCATAAAGAAAATGCCTAAATACACCAACAAGATTCTGGGTTAGTGAACTGAGAGGTAGGTGGTGGGGGTTACTTGGGAACTGGTCTTGCCTGAGGCGGACTCGAGTCATCGCAACACACTTAGGCACCCACACTCAAGACTTTGTTGCCTCTCACATTTCTGCTTCAGCATCCATACTGACAACATCAAGTTCTCTCAATAAAATGATTATAAGAGATTTTTCCTTGTTTGAATTATAAGTAACTTTTTAGTTCATACTATAATTAAAACAGTAGTCACAAAGGTACGGACATTTCATATGGACGTTCGTCTCGACATACACCGAAAACAATGAGTTAATTTCTTCTAACTTCTAACGTACTAAGCGCGCGTGGAAAATATCTACGTTTTTTATACAAGTTCTTTAACAGGTGGAATACATCTGATTATTAAAACACCACAAATCTCACATCACTTACGGTACACACTGCTCCGCCTCAGACGATTCGAACGAACTCGGTCCCGTTATTCAGCATGGCGGAGCGTGAATTTATCCATCCCACATTACTTTCCACGGGTTTAACACTCGTTCATCTATATTCCCACAATCCAAGCACACCCCATTGTCTCATACAGGATAATGAATGAATAATTTATCGCTATACTAACTCAAAACTTTTCCATTAATATAAGAAGTTTCGACAAAATAATGCGCGGCAACTGACTTCCTGGCGTGTTGGTAGTGTTGTCCAGGAGTCCGGTGTTCTTGCATCCTGTATCGCCACACAGTAACTTTTAGCGGCCATACAGCGTGTGTAACAACCACAGTGAAAAGTTTTATATACAGTGTGGTGTTAGTGAAGTGTAGCGTGTTGTAGTGAGCGGTGAGGAGAGGATAAAGTACAGACGTGTATGTGAGGGGCGGCGGCCGTCACAGAGAAGAGGGTGGAGGGAAGGTCGTTCACCGGGGTACAAGAGACAAATCCACAGTATATACCCAGATATGGCAAAGTCCCAAATTTACACCATGTCCTAAATAAGTGTCCCTGATATAGGTTTGCACCGCTGACATAGATAATGCTTTGTGATATCATCCTGAACTCCTAACGGGGTCATTATAGTGCATTCGTATATATATATATATATATATATATATATATATATATATATATATATATATATATATATATATATATATATATATATATATATATATCATGCAGATCCACAATGAAAAGATAAGATAAAGCTAAGGTGCTCCGTTGTTTCTCTTTTCCCGTGTGTTTTTATAGTATATATATATATATATATATATATATATATATATATATATATATATATATATATATATATATATATATATATATACCATCATATAAGACGCTATAATTCTTCCCAAAGGCAAATAACGATACGTGTTATAAGACCTCGACGGCGATGTTATGGGTGGTATTTCCGGGTTGTCCCATCGATGTCATATACCCAAGTGATGAAGTGTTATATCATCCAGGGAGTGCTGTTCATGGTATATCATCCAGGGAGTGCTGTTCATGGTATATCATCCAGGGAGTGCTGTTCATGGTATATATCCAGGGAGTGCTGTTCATGGTATATTATCCAGGGAGTGCTGTTCATGGTATATTATCCAGGGAGTGCTGTTCATGGTATAATATCCAAGGAGTGCTGTTCATGGTATATTATCCAGGGAGTGCTGTTCATGGTATATTATCCAGGGAGTGCTGTTCATGGTATATTATCCAGGGAGTGCTGTTCATGGTATATATCCAGGGAGTGCTGTTCATGGTATATTATCCAGGGAGTGCTGTTCATGGTATATTATCCAGGGAGTGCTGTTCATGGTATCCAGGGAGTGCTGGTATATTATCCGGGGAGTGCTGTTCATGGTATATTATCCAGGGAGTGCTGTTCATGGTATATTATCCAGGGAGTGCTGTTCATGGTATATTATCCAGGGAGTGCTGTTCATGGTATATTATCCAGGGAGTGCTGTTCATGGTATATCATCCAGGGAGTGCTGTTCATGGTATATTATCCAGGGAGTGCTGTTCATGGTATATTATCCAGGGAGTGCTGTTCATGGTATATTATCCGGGGAGTGCTGCTGGTAATCGGGGGGTTAATCTTCAGTTAATCCAAGGGGGCTAATCTTTACGTGATATAATCTTGATCAAATTACGCCAAGTAAAACGTTCACTTACTGTATGTGTCATAAGTGGACATTTTACTTGCTGTTCGTATTTCTTTGTTATACAGTAGAAGGCATCCGATTCAGGCCTTCTGGGTTTCCGAGTACAGCACCGCGTGACTAACATGATGGTGTGACTAACATGATGGCGTGACTAACATGATGACTAACATGATGGTGACTAACATGATGTGCGTGACTAACTAACATGATGGTGTGACTAACATTATGGTATGACTAACATGATGGTATGACTAACATGATGGTATGACTAACATGATGGTGTGACTAACATGATGGTGTGACTAACATGATGGTATGACTAACATGATAGCGTAATACGTGGCAGAATATGCTCATCGGTGATTGGTCAAATTGGAACTTCAAAATAGTAGCCGACTTGCCTAATCTAACTACTGTGCGAGGATTGATACCCAAGTATTAATATATTCTAATCCTTATGATAATAATACCACTTTGATATCATTTAAATTCGAATAATACCAGTGCTAATTCCAGTCCTAATAATGTCAGGTTTATTTAATACTAATTCTAATAATACCACTTGCTAATAAATCTTCTATAAATACACTCAGTCCCAACCTAACACTACAAGTTCTATACGAGTCCAAATCTCACTGGGCGTTAATTCAGTACTGGGGCCCATGTGACCTCTTATGTACCACTTCAACCGGGGGCCTATATGACCTCCTATCTTACCTACCACCTCAACCTAGCTAATATCTGTTACACGACTCACTGTTTGTCTAGGGAGAGGGAAACTGTCTTCCCTCTAGGCTAAAATGTGAAGGATTCGAATTTAGATGTGATTCGAAAATAGTGTGAGATATGTGTTGTTAACTTGACTCACTCGGCCTCAAGTGTGAAAGAACCCTAAGAGTCACACCTCACATTAACTGAGTATGTCGGTGAAAGGATGGAAAGGCTGGTTGTGCTGCGGCTTATGGTGGTGGTAGGTAATGGTGGTAGTGGTCTCGAGTGAAGCACAAGCAACTCGACCCCACCGTTTTAAGAGGTGGTGGTACCAATTCGTGCTGTTGCCTCCTGCCACCTCCACTAAATACCTGGCCTGCTCATTATTTAACTGGTTTAACAACGTCGAGATACATTATATACTGATGGGGTAGGGTAGGGGGGGTGGGGTGGGGTAAAGAGAGGTGGGGTAAAAAGAGGTGGGGTAAGGAGAGGTGGGGTAGGGGGGGTGGGGTGGGGTAAGGAGAGAGACGTCTGGATGGTGAGTGTGCTTGTTTTGGGTCGTGACTGTGGATGGAAGTACAGATGATGATGCGGCCTATGTACACATTTGTTGACCCCTTTTGATTACGATTGCAAATACTCCCTTCCTTCCTTCCTCCCTCCCTCCCTCCTTTCTTCCTTCCTTCCTTCCTTCCTTCCTTCCTTCCCTCCCTCCCTCCCTCCCGCCCTGTCTACGTTCCTCCTCCTATCTACCTCCCTTTAACCTCCTTCCTTCCCTCCCCAGTACAACGAATTTTGCCCATTAAATAACATATCTAAACTTCTTAAGCATAAAGACTAAACATTTTCATAATAATATCTTAATCCCTTGAGCACAATGGAAACCCCTGAAGACAGTGAATTAACCCAATAACACTTAACCCCTTGGCAACAATACCAACAACCCCTTATGTATAATGAACTGACCTACTGCATGTCTTAACCCCATGAGTACAATGACCTAACCCCCCCTTTCAATATACTGACCAATCCCCCATCGAGTCAAGAGGACGATGCACTCGTGGTGGTGAAGTCGTCGTATTCAAAAGGTTCAGAAAGTAGAATTGCAAAGTAGCACCGTTCTGCCTTGTCACCGTATCAGTCACAGTGAACGCTCTCCTGAACCACGATGATGGCAGAAGATGGTAGAGTCTTGATAACTATAATGCGGAGGTTAAGAAATGTAAAAATAGGTTAGAATCTTTAGCTTGCATCCCTGGTGTTTACATTTCAGGAGCGAATAAGTTACCTTGGTATTTATGGGTTTATTAAGATTAACAGGGGGGGGGGGGTTATGAATCGGTGAAGATTAGGTTAGGTCCTTACAAGAGCGTTTCTTTTTATCTTGTTCCAGTCATAAATTATAAATTTTGAGGGAAAAAAATCGAAACTCATGTACGGTGAAAGTATGGTAACTCACTATCACATACGTAGGCTAACGTATGTTTACTTTATTGTTTATCGCAAATACGGACCCATTGTTTGTTTCTCCACGGGGAAGCGGAAAATAATAGGTAAATGTGTGAGTTAAGCAACAGCAGAAGGCAGTAAAGTGGGCCATTTATGTGGGCACCAGACGCTGGGAACTCAATGATTATCAAGTATGACCTGCTTGAAATCACTGGCGGCGCGGGCGTCAACCTTTGACCCGTTTTCTGTGGTGGAGAGAAGGGGATACTGTGCCCGTCACCTACTGTGTTTTCTTACTGTTACACGAAATAACACGCTTAAAAAACAGTAAATGTCAGTGTTCAGTGACAACAGCTCCAGTGTTTTTTATCAAGTCCTGATAATGATAAATATCCCGACCTTTACATTATTAAAGTCTACAATCACAGCTAATACTTTTCTAATACTGTAATATGAATTAAATTTATCATAAAAACCTCAGCCATCCAGAACTTTGTGTTAAGCAATATTTCTAGAGCAAGATGATACTGTATATTATTCATAAAATATATTACACATACGAACGACTTATTCATCCTGTAGGACTTATTAGCTTTACAGGTAATTGATAATATCTAAGCAATTGTGTAACTCGTGGGTGTTAGTGCAGGGCAGCTGGGAAGAAATGCTGCTCAGCTGGTGGTCAAACGATGAACTTGCCAAACACTGCACAGCTACGACCAGCCATGTTTGCTAAGACTCGTGAATATGGAAAAGGAGGAAAGAACTATACAGGAGGAAGTGGAGCAGAAACAAAAATGGAGGAGCTGGTGGGTCGAGTGAGAGCGAGAGTGGAGAGAGCAGGACTGAGGAGGGCAGGCTGGCGGGTCTGGGTGACGGCTCTGGCTATCTACTGCGGCCTGGCGCTCCTGCTGGACCCCGACCCCATCACTACCGGCGAAGATGATAACATCACTCTCTTGGAGTGGGTCACTGAGGTAAGTATCCTATAATTCAATGCTAGTTTTTCATCTCCAACACGAGCGATCTTTCTTAAGCATAATAATACCCAAGAATATTTTACCTAAACTGCTGTAATTCCTTTAAGATAAATAAAAAGAGACATATTTTGACGCTTTAATCTTTCATTTTATTCGAACTTGTGAGGTGTTTTAGAGCGAACACTATGAGCATGTTACGCGTCACTATCACAGGCAACAGTATGGTGACTATTTAAACACATACCAGTCATCACCAGCTGTCTAGGCCACCTACCCAGCAACACTCATGATAACTGAAAACGTTTCGACATTATTACTGAAACAATGAAATTTACACATTCGTCTACCTTACATCTTTTACTTGACCTCAGTTTTTCCTCCCATTAATATGCCATTAGTTTTATTAAGTACCTTCTACATATCAGTTTCCTGTCAAAATCACAAAAGTAAATTAGAATACACGAGTGGCCTTCACACTTGACCTGGCTCAGCAGTTATCATCATCACATGCACGAGGAGGAAAAAACCATTGGACTGTAAGAGAATTATTTTCAGTCCCTGTACTGGAAGCATGTCGCAGGCATCATAAAAACCAACAGCTTCCTCATTATTTCCGTTTCATCTATGTGGAAAGGACGAGGGAGGCGGGGCGTCATACAAGGGGATTACGTTCCCACTCGGTTCACCTTGATCAAGAAAGACTTCCATCAGGGGCTATGGTCTGGGGGTCCCTCCCATCAGGGTTTAAGAGGCCCCCCCCCCCCCACCACCACCAGGAGTTATGGTTTAAGGCTTCCTCCCACCTGGTACTGTGTTGAGGAATTTTCCCGAATAAAGATAAACCTCCTCCTGGTTTACCTTGATCTCAACTTTCCCATCAGATAAATGACTCAACAGTTAAGACACCACACAAGACGCTTTTACTCCTCAAAACTGAACTAAAGATCCAAGATAACACCGTCGGCTCGTGCGTCGGCTGGAGTAATGCCAGTCTTAACCCAACCTTCACATAAACCATCTTTAGGTATCACAATGCAGTAGTAACCCGCCCAAGTTACGTGGTGCCACACTCTCGGTATAAAGGTACTCGGGGAAAGGAATTCGTCTTGTAACATATAATTCTGTCTCAACGGAGGAACAACATTGAACTATTAAACTCAACTTGGGGATTTTTTTCAGCGACTCATTCTAGGTGAAACAATACGATGGGATGAGACAGAGTTGATTTTATTTCGAAAGGTACTGCATTTAAAAAGCCAGTGTAGCTGTATATATCCACTTAAAAGCCAAGAAATATATATATCAGGAGTGGGACTAAAAATATACTGAAAGATGGATACTGATAATATGGTACGAAGAAACATATAGACAAAATACTACATATAAGATAATTAAATACAGCATTATAAGACCTACAAATACTGAAAGGAATTACCTATATGGAAGGTCTGTATGTGCTTGGTAATTTATACAGTTACGCAAAGTTACCTCAACGAGTTTATACAGTATATGCATTGTATATACCCAGTGTACCGGTATATAAATCAAAGATATATAAATTCGGTTATTAAGTACTCGTTCCAGGATATAGAATTAGGTAGTTAGAGACACACAAGTTAATCTCAACATATTAACTTTTATTAACATTGATTATTAACACCCTTGAACATTTCCTCAGACATTACAACAGTTAAATGTCTATCACCAAACATCCTGGTAGGACAGAAACCAAACCTAACCTAACCTAACCTAACCTAACCTAACCTAACCTAACCTAACCTAACCAGACGGAGAGACTAATCAAAAACAAAAATAAACGAAAAATACAAATAAACGAAAAATACAAATATACAAAATTACAAAGAAATAATCACGTGAAAGGGATGAGGTTAAAAAAATAAATGCCTCAGACACCCAATAGCCAGAGGGGTTAATGATTTGCGTGGCACTGTCTGTGAGAGTAATTGGAAAATATTACCACAAGAACAGTAGTTAAGTTGCTCTAATTGCCGGTCATGCTAGAGGGGGCGCTATATCACCGGTAAGAGTAGAGAGGAAGTCGGTAATTAAATTATTAAATATAAAAAAAAACGGCCCTAAGGATTGTTAAATGAAAGGAAGAATTGATAAAGAAAATGATAAAAGACGAGACGTGACATGAGTTTGACCCCATTTGAACCCCCCAAAAAAAAAAAAAAATAATAATAATAATAATAATAAATGAGGTTTGAGAAGAAAGTAGTACAGAATATTACTTCAGCTACATTGTATAATAATTTTTTTACACTCTTATATATTTCGTAACTTTGGTTTGTTCCGCGTACACAATAGAGGTATTTCTTTGTATGTCTTCCCAAATTGGCCCGGGGAACGGAGGGGATAACGAGTCAATTTTCCGTTTCATAACAAAAGAACAAAAGAACAACCTGCTTACTTAACCTAACCCAACCTAGTTAATATCATGACACGTAACCAGTCAGTAACCTGGAGTGGATACTTACACAGTACACGGATAAAAACTCACCGGACAGGTTAGGTACTACAATGTTAACTAGGTCAGGTTTGCTTTATCGGGTGAGTTTTTGTCCGTGCATCGTATATACAGTACACCCACGAGGTTCCTGACTAATTATGTTTAATATAGTACAGGTTATCAACATCACCTAACATATAAGTAATAAATTTTAATTCTTTACTTCGTCAAGTTCCTTTATAAAAATTTGTCCTCATATTCCTGAATTATCGATTTTTTTATATCTATTCTCCTTCAATTATCGGATCTTCCTTATACACAAGCTACGTAATTCTTCCATCCTTAATTGTATCAAAGTCCCTCAATCATCAATTATTCCTTCCTGCTTCTCCTCCTCCTCTCAAGTCACTAGGTTACGT